AGTGAAAGCCCTGTGGGCTAAAAGCCAATGCAGATGCCAGCACAAAAGACAATGCAGCCTCGAGCACCGAGACGCACACGAATGTATTCCCCCTTTTTGTGCATGCAATCGCTGAGCATCATCCCAGGCGGGTGAGAATGCAGTTGCAAGCTTTGGCTCGACAGAACCTGGAGGCCACGCTCGGATGGGATACAGCCCTAAACACTCCGCGGCTGCCACAGGCAGTCCGCCCTTCGACACCAGCATGAAAAATGCACGAGGATTCTGCCGACAGAGATGTAGTCTCATCCACTACGTCCAAATCCTCGCTCTCGGAGCTCGTCTCGGACTCAGCCGGCAGCACCGGCGTGGTCATCGCCTGGACAGCAGAAGGCTCCGAAGGCAGTGCAATCGGTTGGGGCCGAGAGGAAAGCAATGTACTGCTTGAAGAGCTCGCCGAGGCTCACCTTCCGAAAACCTGAAGAAAGCCAGGTGCGGAATGGACGAAACAGACACTGAGATCCTCTCACCGGCTTACTGCCGGCTCCGACGGCATAAATGTAATGCCTCGCAGCAGGGGTGTGCGAGCCAACCAGCCGCCGCGCACACGTTGAATAAATGTATCATGTGCCACAGTGAGAGGGCTGACATCATCTCTGCCGTACAATGTAGATGAAGACGCGAATGTATGATGTCCCTGCATATGGCGAATCTCAATGATGGAGATCTCGAGCTGCCTGCAAAACGCCAAAAGCGTAACTTTCATGCTATGCAATGTATAGATAATGGGTGATCTGAGCAGATGGAATGCCACGCCACATTGCAAGAAGGCGGCGAAGCCTAGACAAAGTTTCAGCATACGTGAGCGGGCGAATGGAGGAATCCTCACAGCACCCGAACATGTAATCAAGCACATCCTGACCCAACGATGCAATGTCCCAGACCGCCTCCAACGCATGGAGCCAATGGAAAAGCCAACACCGGCCCGAAGGCAACTGATAAAGTCCACACGAAATGCACCCGAAGGGCATGAACTTCCTCGACTTTTTAGGGTATGAAATGGACCGAATACTATCAAAATCAATGAAAAACTCCTGTAGCCGCGCGTGTTGTGAGTCTGAGAATCGAAGGCTACACCAAATGCATAGTAGCAGCACGGCTCCCGCAAATGCAATCTCGCCCTGTTCAAAATGACCCAGGATAGTCTCCGTTTCCAACCACAGAACAAATGCAAGAGGTAAGGGAATGGCTTCTCTCTTCATGGTGTCTGCCTGCCACGATCGACTATGAAAAAGTCCTTGGTACAACGACGGGAAGCCCTCAGGTTATACTGTAGCCGCGAACCACCGGACCGCCTCGAGGACATTCAACGAATGCACAGACGCCTGGTTCGAGCGAGATCGTTGCAGCACATGAAAGGAGTCGACCAGCTAGTTGCACCTGCGAGATGACAGCGAAAGAAATGCCAAGCTCCTTCAATGTGTTAAAGAGCTGCCACAGCACTGAAATGTAACGCAATTCAGTTAGATCCGACACACGTCGGAGGAGCTGTTCGAGGAAAGCGAGCTTGTTGTCACTCGCCAATATATCTTGTAGCAACGAAGAACATACAACCGCTAACTCACAGAGTTCCCTCCAGAGATGCAATGCACGAATCCACTGCCGCGAATGTATCTCGGAATGCTGCAGAACCTTGGGTTCTCCCTGTCGGCTGGACCCTTGGGCCCCGGCCACCGTCAGTCGCTTGGAGGTCGCCGAAGCAGGACGGATATCCTTTTGAGGCAGTGTCGCAACTGTCCCAGGGTGAGGTGCAGGCCGCGCAATGCACCCGACTTACTGCAGACGCCAGCAGAAGAATGACGAGGCTCGGACTCCGAAGGGTACGATGCTTACCCCCCCCCCCTGGGAGATGGAGTCCGCCTGGACTTAGGCGGGGGTCTAGAAACGACCGCCCAACCCCGACTGACTCAAATGCAGGAACTGCTTGCTCGCTCGCTTCAACATCCAGCAGCACCGGGCCGCGGCGAACTGGGGAAAATCCCCGGGCCTCGTGCTCCGACACACCTGAAGCACGGGACTCGGAATGCATGTTGCCCGCAGACAAAGATGCCGAAACTCTTCCGGACTGTCAATATGCGCTTGTAATTGGCTATCATCGACGGAACAAAAGCCCCGTGGCAAAAGCAAATAATGATGGTGCGAGTTTACATCCTTGTGTGATACCGCGACTTGGAAGGCATGATCTGAGGCTGTCATTCGGTACAGTACTTTCGACTAAAGGGGAACGGGTGCCTCGGTCTCCAAGGTTTCACGCAGACGAACTTTGTCTACGCTATCAAAAGCTTTGCTCATGTCCACCCTAAGCGCGAAGCTGCCTTTGAGTTTAAGGCCCCTGTGGCCTCGACCCGCGATCTTCTGCGAGGCCTCTGCTCGGAGTCTTGCCTCATCTACATGGGAGAGAGCTTTGCACATGGCTTCCTCTGCGCTGCGACCTGGTACGAACCCAAACTGAATGACACCTGACAGTGCCGAGTGTAGTGTCATCTTGAAGCGTTTCCTAACGGGACCTGCGAGGATCTTACCTTCCGGGGCTATAACTCCGATGGGTCTGAGGGAAGCAGGTTTGTCCGGCCTTTTGGGGGGTTTGGGTAACCGAGACATTTGGGAGGCAGTCAGAGATGCGCAAGAAGAGCCATCTTCAACTTCTCGCTTAAGGATGTCTGCGATGTACTGGTGTGCTTGTGGCCCTAGAGACCGCCAGGCTGCTGGAGGACTGTCCCTTGGGACACTTTCCCTGCCTTAATGGTCATGAGCTGTGCTTTCACTTCTGCTGCTGAGACCTCCAAATTGCCCTGCCCCTGAGTGGAAAACCCTTTCCTGCTCCAAACAAGTCGAGTGAGTGTCGTTCGAGTTGTTTGCGTTCCTCCATGGAGGTTAAAAAACGTTCATGAGGATCCCTAAGCTGAACCAAATCGAAAAGCGTTGTGATTACCTTAAACAGCGAATGGCTGCCATCTTGCCTGGACTTGTGTGCAGCTTGAAGGAGATGCTCATTTATCTCTTGCTGGTGTCGCTCCTTCTTCTTTTGCTTGGCAAGTTTGGCTTGTTTGCTTTGCGATGCTGCAGACTGCCAGCAGTTTAAGACCATCAGCTTCTTAAGCCCAGACTGCAGGCCAGCTACCGCTTGCAGCGTGGTCGGGATGCTGCGAAAGGCCATGCGCGTACTCAATATGTTGTCACTCTCCTTTGTTTTGGCGCGCTTGGGCTTGGGGAAGTGCACTCTCATCGCGGACTCCATAGTTTCGCTGAGGGCGTCCCAGGTCCTTGGGCAATGTTGCAGAGAGTTGTCGACATGATCCCTAAAGGCATCTATGCTTGGCTCCATTGCTCGATTGCTATCCTCCATGAGATGCTCGTAGGGTTTCGATGCGCTGGCGGAGTAGCTCCGGTTATGCTGAGCTTTCCCTACCAAACGGTAATGCCACCCTCTCGCCACTGAGCAACTCGAAACGTGCGCTGCAGGTGGCACTTCTTGCCTGGACCCTTCGACTGTTAGAGGAGGAGAAAAGCATAGTCTATCTGGGTGACCGAGTTGCCCTGTACATGAGTTGCAGGTCGCTTAACACCCCAGGTGTTGGCTGCTACTAACTGATGAGTTTCTAATACGGTAGCTTGTGGAGATCTGGGTGTTCCTGCTCGGGATGGAGCGAATAGACGATCCTAGAGAAGTTAAGATCCTCTTCCTCAGGGTCTTGTTCGTGTCCAGGGTTTCTTCTGATCGCCAAACGTATTGGTAACAGCTACATACGTCAAGGGTTATGCTCTCGCTTGGCATTCGCACCTGCAGAAGGCGGCCTGGGTGAACCTCATTGTGCCTTAATCCTTAATGCTTGCTGTCGACAGAGCGAGGAATGCACCATGACCAAGACACCTGCGCCTTTCTCTTCCGTCGAGCCTGAGCTCACTACGTGCCAGTCATACTTAGTAAATTGCCAGCTGCCTCGCCAATGAGTCTCCTGTATGGCGACTTCTTGATGGGCTGTAGTCCGGAGTTCGTAGCACTAAAAATAACTCTTCCCATGCTGCTGTGGTGAGAGAGCCTGCGTTCCATGACAGATAGGACACTTGCTGCTTCTCCAGAAATACTGAAGATTTCAATCTGACTCCAGGACCTGAAGGTAGGCTGGGAGCCGGAGTAGCTCCTAGCTCCGCTGATGTCATATTCCTGCCTTTATAGACCGCTGTTGCATCCTGTAGAGTTTTACGCACTGCCTTCTGATAAGATCCTTTGCAATTTCCTTTCAGGAGCTGGCTGATAACGTGTGGTCGATTCACAAGGCTGTTTCGCTGGGCATCGCAAGACCGACAACCCTCACCTTTCACTCGAAATTGGCTGCAAATCTTGAAGCTTCCTCCCGGACTTGGGACCGGGACAACTCAGGCGATGGCAAATACCATGGCGAGCAAGGAAAGGCAAACTGTACTAGCCTGACCTTACCTGAGCCGAGAGGCTTGCCGCAGCAGCAACAACAACAACAGCACCAGCAACAACAAACCCGCTTGGTGCAGAACTCATTAAATACTAAAGTGCCCGGAAATGCTAACTGACGTGGTGCGTGCGTTTTGGTTTCTGTGATGGCATGTCGCTGACGGCCACTAGGGGAAGGCTTTGGCCATAGTTTGTAGGTTGCTGCCGGTTCCTGTCGTGAAGAGCCAGAACCTCGGTTGTACTTAGCCTCCATCATGCTCGGCTCGGCAACCAACGCGCAAGGCCTGGCGCATTGTAGCTTTACCAAAAGCTTCGGTTGTTGCGGAACCCAACCTCAAGTTTTAAGACGTCTGCGGTAGTAAAAGCTTCGGGTTTCGGGTTCCGCCGGCATTTCATTCTTGAAACACTTATGCTCGCATACAGCGGTCAGGTGAAACTTGATGAATTGAGTGCTTCTGCTGTCAACCCTGCAGACTGGCAACAACCTCTTGTAGAAAGTCAAAACCTGTGCACGAATCCGAGTAGCTTTCAGTCAAGCTGGGAATTGGGAGAGCTGGTCATCCGAGCCCGCCCGGAGCTTCTTCTCAATCTCCGGCCTAGGTTGTGTTGGGACCTGTATCCATCTTCGACCCCTCACTCAGCTAGGCCCTGGCAATTCCCGGCTTTGAACCCTAAGACCTAACACAAGACCAAGCAGGCTACCAATTCCGAAATAGTACACCAAGGCATACCAAGCCGCGGCAACATACTTTATTCCAAACAGCATTGTTCCGGCAAATAAATTACATGAAAGCAACCTATTGCATGCCTCAACTCACCCATGAAACAACCAAGTAAGCTGACCTTCAACTACGTGACACTTCATGCCTCTGTGAGAATCGAACCAATATTTTTCGGAGCAGTGAAACGCTTTGATTGTCCGCTGAAAAGAGACATAGCGAAGCAAAGGACCCCTTCTTTTGTTGGGTGATAAATCCGGCGCGGGTCAGAGCCGATGTTCCGCCGATAGATCCGATAGTTAGGCGGAGGGACCGGCAGCAGGCGGGCCAGACACGACTCAGAGAACCGTCGGCAAGCAGCCACCTCAACCGGGACAGAACGAAAGCAGGTTGGACCGGCAGGAAGCCCAGGCCAGAAGTCAAATGACGAAGAGGCAGAAGTTGACGCATTCAGCCTGAGTGACGTTGCCTGAGCAAATGACAACCAAACCACAGGTGGTCCAGCGCTTTCAGTACTACCGGGCCTTCAAGGGGTTGCCGGACGGTTCGATTGTCTCGTCCTCCCTCGAAGAGTGGGTGGCTCACGAAGGCATGGCCAACTTGGTAGCCGCCAAGATCATGCCAGCAAGGGCGACCAGTTGTTTTGATTGCTCGGAGTTCCCGCACTTCCTGACTCATCCGCCGGGGGTTCAAGCACTGCAATGTCGCTTGGCAAGCCATATCTTGCGCTTGCCGATCCCCGCACATGCTCGTACCCTTCAGTGTTGCATCGATCCTTGGCATCAGCAGCATGACCTTAGCGTCCGTCCTCATGCGCTCTTGATGATCTCCTTTTCGTTTGCAGACATGCTGCCGACGCTAGGAAGACTCATGAAACGTTGAAGGACTCCGGACGATGGATGAGTGTGCACTCCTGATTGCTCTTGGCCTGTCTACAGTAGTAGTGGACTGCCGATGATTAGTGTGCAGTCCTGGTTGCTTTTGCCCTCTCTACAGTATGTGTTTCAAGGCCGCCCACGACGCTTCATCGTTGCCAGATGATCGCTGGGGTCGTACAGTGAATGGACACTCGACAGCACCTGCTGACGGGCCAGCATCGTCCGCAGATGTTCAGCTTTTTCAGGAAAAGATTGAGGACAACATCTACAGCGCTGCACTCAGAGCTGATGCCATATCCTCGTTGGAATATTTTGGTTGTGACTTCGACGACTGCAGCTCGCTGTGGCTCCGAGCCGGGCCGGAATGGTCTGCTAGCCTTGCCACGCAAGAGACCTTCGAACCCTTCCACGTTGCCAACGTCAAACGTCTCTCTCTCTCTCTCTCTCCCTCCCTCCCTCCCTCGGTTGCATGTGAGTGTACATGTACCAACATGTAGATATTCAATATCGCATGTGCATACACTTATGAGAGAAACACCAACGATACCTTGCCGAGGGGGTGCTTTCCAAGGCACATGTTAGTCCTGAAATCCTCAAACCGCGACCCCAGTACAAACTACGAAACCTATGAACTCATGTTGCTGCTCAGCTTCCACTTTCCATTGAAGCGGTTTTCCAAGGCTAGGCCGATGCGCGGGGAGTCGGCCAGCAATGTCTCGTCCCGAACCTGAGCAGCATGGGAGGTTTTCTTGGGATCGAGGGTGTAAGCCATACATAATGACAAAGAGTTAATATGTCATGCAGACCGAGTGGGACACTGCATTGAAATCTTGACACCTACATGTGCTTGCTATAGCAGCTTTCGAGCTAGGACCACAGAAAGTGCAAGCAAAAGCATAAGCTGCACAGCGGCCGTGACCAAACCTTTCGGAATCATGGCATAGTCCGCTGGCCCATGGACGACGCGATAGTGGGCAGCAAAGCCCTGCGACATGGGGATGCTGATCTGCGTGCCGTTCCTGAAGTCATAACGCCAGGAAGACGAGTCCACAACCTTCCTCACCGCTTAACATCGGCAAAAACGCCAAGAATGCCAAGCATCTCCCAGCTTATGGGGTAATGGATATCCACACCATTGACGAGGGTTGGGCGCACGAGGTACTTTGGACAGGACCAAGATACCTGACCCGTGGTTTAGGATCTGAGCCAAGCTAAGTTCTCCCTCAAGGGTTTAGGCGTTGAGCTGGCTCGATTGGCTCAGTGTATCTTGGTGCCCGATGATAGCAGGGCACGTGAAAAGCATTACCAAATTCTCTGAAGGATCTGGAAAGCGGAAAGACGTGTTCACCAGTAGGTTGTCGTAGAAAACACTGAGCGGACGGTCGAACCTCACTCTCGCCATGCTTATACTGTGCACAAGTTTAGGAGCGTGCTCGCTTGCGATCTTGTCCCAAGCTGTTCGCATGTAGTCCCCGACAGAATCATTGTCTGCCAGCCGGATATATTCATCCACATCCACCGAAGGCATTAACCACTGGGCATGGTTCTTCATGCGGTAAAGGCAATCGTTCATGATCAGCCGCTTGTGGGCATCACCATGCGCGTATTTGCCTGTGGTGTTGACATGAACTCTCGTTGCGACACCGGCTTTGATGTATGGCTCGTACATCTCCAGTACCGCAGCATGGGTGATACCCGAAGTGTACACAATGAAGTGATCCACGCCGTGTAGCAAATAGAACTCCATCCACTGCGGAATGATGGAAGGCGCGGAGATCTCTCCGTTCCACAAACCGGGAATGCACGCCACTGTGCCGTATTGCTCCAGCATGCCTATGTGGCTTTGTTGGACCTGCACTTGACCCAGCTCTTGTCCATTACCCTCAATCAACATGTCGAAGCTGCTCTCATGCGCCTGTGAGGCAGGTGAGGCAGGCCACTCACACCGGACGACGATTGCAAACCTGGCTGTGCCTTTCCGTTCCCCGCCCCACACTGTGGCCTTGGTTCGGTGCGACTTTGCAGCATCTGAACAGAATACGTCCATGCCTGTCAAGGCTTCCCACGCTCTTTGATTGTACTGGAAAAGGACGGCGACGAAATTGGAAGTGTCGCCGAAACTTGGCACAACGCTCAACAGGTGCAAGGCAATGTTCGTGCTGTTCAGGAACTGGCCGGGATCTGGGATTGTGGCCTTAGGCTCTGCAGCGAAGATTTCCTACCCGCTCTTCACCTGGCCTGGAATGCTGTGCGGTGACAACCCCATCGTAACATCTCAACGGTTCTACAGAATTGTATTGGAACTCCAAACCCTTCCATGAAAGGCTGAGCCGCCAAGTCCCGAGAAGTTGTCCCTGACGAGCTGGGCAGGCTTCTCTGCACTTGCAAAATCACGGTCTCCTCCTGCTCCCCCAAACACACCTGAGCGAGGCGGGAGCTTCAGGGTTGCCTAAGGATCTGCGGCTGTGATGGGGCTTGGGATTCGTTGTGCTTTCACAAGCAAAGCCGGACTCTTTTCATTTGTTGCCTGGGTGCAAGGGGACGAGCCTTCAGAAGCAGGCACTTTGCAAGGTTAATCTTGCTTCAACACTTCTAAATCGTTGCCGGCTTCCGCCCTGGGCTTGCTTCGGAGATGCTGCAGCCACCTGATACCGGGCCTTCGTTTGATCTGCAGAGCCAAGCCGCATGGTCAGAATCTGTGCAATCCTTGCGCACGCATGCAGCAGAGCTGAAGCCACCACCTCAGCTTTGCAGGGCGTTCTGCAACAAAATCTGGCGATTCACCAAGCTATCCGGAGCCCCACTCTTGTGAAGGCCTGAAAAGTCCACAGGAGAGCATTTTGGAGGATGTCCCCAAGTCTTTTATCAAGCGGTGTGATGGGGAGGTACAAGAATGGGGTTTCAGAACCGGTGGTTATAGGCTTGGCCTCAAGCTTAACGTGGGCAAAGAAGGCCTCGGTGCGAGAACAATATGCCCCTCGTCGAAAATCAAACAACTCGCACAGAAGCGCAAACAAATACAGACACCCAAGGTCGCAAGGGAGCCTTACTCGCAATTACTATCACCCCGCCCCCGAACCACTTGCCACACCCAGGATGCAGCGCATGCGCGTGAGAGGGCAATTGAGATTGTACGTAGCAGCAAGAACCCCATGCTGCATCTTAACCGACATGCGGACAGACTCGGTGTGATCTAGCCAGCACCACCTGGTTTGTTGCCAGCCATACGAATGCCTAGACTGCCACGCGTAAGTACCGAGCCCTGCAACAGCTTGCGAGGCAAAAATCATGGATGCTACTATGGCTCCTAGTTCTCTCGCAAGTCGGCTCCGCATGCAACAACCATCGAACAAAAAGGCAACAATAGCCAAGATCACCGCGACACTCATCAACGATCTAAGCTTGATGCATGGTTCCCACTGGTAAGGAGAAGCTGTCTTGACGGGAACTCCTCTCCGAGAGTTCTGATGGCTTCGCTGACACAAACAGCTGCACCCTTAAGAGTTGAACCGGTGCCGCCTTCGTTTGCGATCGGGTAAGCCTTGTAGGATCCAGTGACCTAGCAGGGCTCTTCGAATGCATTCGGACGAAAAATGAACGCACAAAAGCCGTGCCATGCCTGTTGCATTCTGCTTTCCACTTAGCAGGCAAGGCACGGCTTGAAAGAGAGCTGCAATCCCCAGCAGGTGCATCAGCGCCATTAGGGTGGGCAGTCACGGAGGTAAAGCTTCGAACATACGTCCATACATCCATCCATACCGAATGCAAGCATACATGCAGGCATACATGCATCCAGGGATACATGCGTACGTGGGTACATGGACGGATACATGGATACAGGTGCACAGCCACACCACGCGTCGCGTGGCAGTTCGTTCCCAGACAGAGACTTTCCGGGTGATGCTTGAGGACCGACGTGGTGCATCAACCTGCCAGCAAAACACAGGATCTATGCCAATCTGCCCAAGTACTCGCTTCCCCCTAATATCAAGCGGCCCCCCACAATAAGAACCCCAAACGCGTTTTTTGTAATTTGGGTGTTTTATACTACTTGCAGTTTTGATTGATGAAGATGACGATGATGCTGATCTTGATGAGCTTGATGACGATGATGATGATGATCGTGCTGACGACTAAATGACGATGAGCTTGATGTTGATGATGACTTTGACGATGAGAAGTGGTAGCAGCACCAATATTCGTAGTAATAGAAGCAGTAGGAGTAGTAGTAGTAGTAGTAGTAGTAGTAGTAGTAGTAGTAGTAGTAGTAGTAGTAGTAGTAGTAGTACTTGTAGTAGAAGTAGTAGTAGTAGTAGTAGTAGTAGTAGTAGTAGTAGGAGTAGGAGTAGGAGTAGGAGTAGGAGTAGTAGTAGTAGTAGTAGTAGTACTAGTAATAGTAGTAGTAGTAGTAGTAGTAGTAGTAGTAGTAGTACTAGTACTAGTACTAGTACTAGTAGTAGTAGTAGTAGTAGTAGTAGTAGTAGTAGTAGTAGTATTAGGTGCCCTAGTCGTAGCAGCAGCAGCAGCAGCAATCGCAGCGGCAGCAGCGGTGGTAGTGGTATTATCAATAGCAGGAGCAGAACATCAGCAGTCGCAGCACCAGCACCAGTAGCAGGTTCTGGGGAGGGTCGTGGGCTCTATCCTTGAGGGTGTCACCTGGGCCCTTTTCCCCACCCGGAATTGAGATTTTGGCAAAATGTTAAGGAACGGGCTTCACTACGGTTCCTACTCTCAAACTGAAGCGGTCACTTTTCCTTGCAGGTCGCTGTGTCCGCTGGGTCTCGAGCCTTGAGCCACGGGCGTGAGTCCGGCTGTTCCTGTACATTAACTACACTGCACTAGCGGTGTTACTGTTCCTGGCAGAATGTTTAACACCCCGCCTTCGGAGATAGCGAAAGTTCCTCGACTGAGGTGACTCCGACTTTTCTTGACAAACAGTAAACACGCTGCAGTTCCTTTTCACTACAAAACAAACGCTGTTCCTCTACGCAAACGTTGCCGTTCACTCGCAATCCTCTCCAAGGTTGCTAGACTGTACAAAAGCTGTTCCTGCATTTACTTAGATCACCACAGAAACAAGGGCTGTGCCGCGGTTCCTGTGTTGCTGCTCTTTCCTTGGCTCTCTGGCCTCACTTCCTCGGCGTTCTAGCCTCACTGGAAACTTGGCTTTCCTTTGCTTTGGTCCTCCTTCTCGCCTTCTTCCTCTTCTTCTTCTTCGTCTTCCTTGTTGGCTTCCTTCTGCTGCTCTAGCTGTTCCTTGAGGTACTCTTCAAGCTGCTTTGCCTGCGACTGACACTTTTCCTTTCCTTTGGGGTCCTTGGACGCTGCTTTCCATCCGGTTTCCTTGGATCCTGAATACCAGTACCATTGTGCCTTCTCTTCGTTCCACTTCCACTGGTAGTTCCTGCCTTGGAAACCGTAGACTGCAAACCAGTTTCCTTCAAACTCTCCACGTCCTTTTCCTTTCTGGCACGACGCTTCGTTCACTGGTCCTTTGGCGGAAAGTTCCTTGTCGTACTTTCCTTCCTTCTTCTGCTGCTGCTGTGTTACCTTTGACTTTGGTGGCTCCTTTCCTGCCTCTTTTCCTTTTCCTTTTCCTTCTGGCTTTTCTGGCTCCTTTGTTGGTGTTGTGTCTGGCTCTGTGGGTGCCTGTGACCCGGCTGCCGATCCTCTGCTCTCAAGTTCCTGCGTCAGGCTTGCAATCCTTTCCTTATCCTCCTTGCGTTCCTTCATCATGTCCTCCATCATCTGTTCCAGCTTCTTTATCCTGTCTTCTTCACGTCTCGGTTCCACTTCTCCTGATCCTGATCCTGTTCCTGCTGCTGCTGCCTTCTTCTCTGCTTCCTTCTGTTCTACTACTTTAGTTGTGCTGGCTAGGCGTGTATCCCGAAGGGATTAAACTCGACTAAGCGGAAGCTTTTTCATGGAGTGCCGTATGCCCACAAAGTCCGGGCAGCAAGTCCAGCAAGCATTACGAGGTTGATGGGTGGTCCAACCGCACCAGCAAAGAGAACGTAAAGCGATGCATATGCGTAGCAAATAAGCGAACCAGAGCAGGCAAAGAAGTATCAACGCAACGACAAAGAAAGCATTTGCATCTGTATGTGGCTTGCAGAGCATGCAAGAAAAGCTGCAGCGTTTTAGCAGTCGTGTACGGAAGCTGGGCGATGAAGGCCCAGAGACCAGCCCGATGAAAGCAGCATACCTAGAGCGTAAAGGCAGAGGGCCTGAGGGCGCAATAAGATTTGGGATTTTCGGGCTGGTGTGAGACGCACGGTGAAGCACTGCACTCTAGATACGGCTGCCCCGAAGCCGAAACTTTTGACTTTCTTGTTACGGGGATCTTGAATCGTTCTTGTAGCCAATGCCGGTGAGACCGAAAAGTGTGAAATGGGCGGGAGGGTGAGGATTTCGAAGAAAGATGCCTAGCCAGCACAACTGAGCCAAATGTTCGCACGAACATAAAGTAGAAAAACAGATGTGAACAAGTACACAAACCGTTCTACTACTTTAGTTGTGCTGGCTAGGCGTGTATCCCGAAGGGATTAAACTCGACTAAGCGGAAGCTTTTTCATGGAGTGCCGTATGCCCACAAAGTCCGGGCAGCAAGTCCAGCAAGCATTACGAGGTTGATGGGTGGTCCAACCGCACCAATCTAGAACTACCCAGCAACCTCGCTCAGAAAATACCCCGAATTTATGTGAGGTTGGTGGGCACTCCATGCGAGCGAATTTGCCACGGAAGCTGAACAGACGAAGGTGACACACTGATCATTGGCCGCGGTAGCCAAAGATCCTGAAGCGTAGCTGAAATGCGCTCATGCTGCAAACAATCGTGAGGCAATGGATGCTCTTGTGGTCTAGACAGAGCATCTGCTTTATCATTTGCTTCCCCCGGTATGTGCGATACATCAGGGGTGACTCGATGCACTGCTGCAAGAAGTGAGATCCACTCCAAGAAAAAGCACAAGGGCTGACTGGTTGTCAAGGAGTCATTAACACCTGATTCCGCACCCGTGTTATCTGAAAGAGCTCTGAGAGTGATTGGGATGCAACTGCATGGAAGCAAGGCAGATGCCGCCAATATCAGCGCTGCCTGTGCGAGAGCTTCATAACACGAAATCTCCCTTGCCATATCAGCTTGAACCCCAATGCCCAAAGCTAGGAAATCAGCGTGAGCAAAGGTTTGTTGAAACCAGCGATGACCTAAAGAGGGGTGGCGCACGTAGCCACCTATGCAGCAATGAGAGCCTTTGGCACTGGCATCTGCACGTGCATCAAATAGAGGAGTGGCAGGCTGCCGCATCGAGCGGAATGGTGACATATGCAACAGCCAATGCTCGAAGATGCCGAGAATGCGCAGCGAGTTCAAGCACAATTTCCGCTTCTTGCTGTTCTGACTAGAAACCCGAAGCCAAAGCCTACGATCAGAAACCCGAACTTTCTCAAGATCCTGAAGAGAGCGCAAGTCTTGGTGACGTGCCGAAAGCAGTTTGGAGCCGAGCGGTATACCCGTACCTGGCGGCGTCACTGTGAAATGCAGATTCGGCGACAAATATCTAGCGATTTCATGCCAGCGCTCTGGCGGAATGCTGTAGTTCGTAGCAGCTGGGCTGTAGAGATCGTGATAGAAAGTATGCAGCATGCTCTTCATGACCGGAAAAAGGCTTGTAGCCCACAGTGCTAAGCCAATGAAGCGTTCCAAATCCTTTTTCGTCAAGCGAGGGTTTTTACGCAAATCTTGCACCATGCCCAGCAGTTTCAAGCGTTTTGATTCTTTAAGCAACACGATACCGGCAGAGTACTGAAAGTCCCAGCCTATCCAAGTGACCCGAACGGATATCTGAAGTTTGTGCCAGGAAAGAGGCACACCCATGATCTGCATGAACATGCAAATCATGGCACTCGTTGCTGGAAGAATGGACATCGCCTGAGAAAAGAGATAATCATCTACAAACAAGTGGCCTGCGTGGGCTATGTAGATGAGAATATGAAGAATGCGAAGGATGCACGAGCCGAGTCGCCCCCACCAGTGCTGGGCAAACCTGGCTCCGAACGGGCATGTGCGATAGAAATAGAGGGCATTTGACCCGTCTGGTTCCTCACATGTGAACCCAAGCAAGCCTTGTTCCGCATCCTTGACAACGCAGCGCTTATGAGCGCTTTTGATATCAATCGAGAGTGCACCCTGAATCTGCGAGCATTCACGCAGGGGATAGGAATGCAAGACGTCTCGAGCTGAAGGCATGTGCTGCTTCTCAGGAACGGTGCAATTTGCGTTTGTGCCACAAACCGAATTGTCAAGACAAAGCCTTTCTGATCTACCAGGAGCCCTGACAACCGAAAGTTTGCCAAGCGCAACCCCTAGGGGCCAGCGTCGCTGGGCATCGGCCAACGATCCGTTGAATTTGAAGCAAAAACCTTGATCGAGTTCTTCCTGAAGCAGTCTGCGAGTAACAGAAGGTTCCACCGTAGCAGAGCGCCAATTCTGCAAGTGAATCGAAAGTGGTATGTCATCTAAAGATTCACGGTGTTAGGCCAAAAACTATGCGAAGGCGGGATGTCCGACTGAAAGCCTGTTGGAACGCCTGCTTTCAAGGCTGGGAACAAAGTTGTATCAGCGTCAAAGCATACTTGAGCAACAGCTTCCAAGGCATTCAAACAGAGAGGCTGACGTTCCCTCTGTAACCAAGCATCGGCCG